AAACATTTAACACTTTTGAATTTGCTGTGTAGTTGGTGTTTGTACCCAGCTGTCATGACAGTTGATAGGTCAGTTGTTAGTGGTTGCTATGACGACATAAACAAGTCAGAATCTTGGAGCCAACTCTTTCCTCGCTCTATCCATCTTTTACACAATATAAATACATTGCTCAAGACAGAATAAGATGAGATATTCCTTTATTAATCCCGCAGTGGGGAAATTTGCGTTGTTACAGCAGTACAGAGGACAGAGCAGAACCAATATAAAAATCTCTATGCACAAAAAAAATACAAGTGAATATAGAAATACTGAAATGGCATGGTATGAAATATAAAAAATAAGTAAATTCCAGGTGTTTATGTTAAGGCAAGCAGGTAAGTGATATTACACTTAGATTAAAAGTAAATAAATAATAAATGAAATGGTATTTATTTACTTTATTTACTAATTTAGCAACTAAGAGTCGCTAAATGTATTAGTTATTTTTAAAATAAAAGTCACTAGAGGAGTATGAAAAATTGATAAACAGCGACAAAGTGAATGTCAACGAGTACTTCTTTCGTCCTGATCACACCCCCACCCAGCCCTCTGCTCATCCCCTCACTCAGCCTCGTCTCTGCCACGGGCAGGGTTTAGCTTTCAGAGATTAGTTAGAGTTTATGGCTGTTGATTTATTTTATTTTTTATCAGTTTTATGGGTTTTCTATTAATATCTATCTATCCATCTAGATTGTTCCTATTATAATATAGGATTGTCAGATATTTCTCTATCTAGACAGATGCATTGCCACACAGGTACACCCACTAGAAGGAATCAAACGCACCCAGTACAACACTTGTATTCTATTGACTGAAAGGTTGCTAGACGATGATACTTTTCTGCTCCAAGCGTGAGCAGAAAATGTTTTGCAAGCGGAGATTTGATCCAAGCAGAGACAAGTTTTGAAAGCAAGGAGAAAAGATTGAGAAAGCACAGTGAATATTTGAAAGAGAGTGGAAGTTTGGAGTACAAGCATTGAATGTTTTGAGAGCAAAAGACATAATACTGCTTTCTGACTCAAAATGTGTGCTCTCAAATTATGGCAGAAAAATTCCCCCACACAATTTGCACATTCATAGAATAGAGATGCTTTCTGTCCTTAAAGGTGCATTCACAAAGTGAGCGGCTCAACTGAAGGATGACTGCAGTTGCATCGGTATCCCACGGCTCCTTCTTTAAGTTTTGCTCAGAGCTTCAGGATGATCAGTCTGGATTAATCTAAACAATAATAAACCATCATTTCCCAGCAGATCAATATGGTCTCTGAACAATCACTCCCTCTGAATCTTCTATTGGCGGTGTTCTCCATCATTTCATGCGCTTCGGTACACAGACTGATGCATTACATTTTTATCTGACAAAAACTAAGGAAATTTACTATTTACACTCAAGTGAGGTTTTCATGTTCTTTTATTTTATTTTGTGTTATGTAATTGAGGATAAATGTTGTTTATCTTTGTTGTGGCTGCCACACAGTTTCACAGCAGGTAAAAAGTAGAAACTTTCACACTACATTAATTTTTATAGACATCAACTTGTGCCTAAAATATGGCACCACACATTTTTTTCAAGGTGTGCAAATTATTCAAGATTGACTTCTGGATTGGTTAGACTTTATTAAAATACAGCTCACATGACCAAAGAAAATGGCAGAGAATAAAGGTGCTGGAAGGTGACCAGTGCATGAACTAAAATACATTTTCAAACTTGATTTTAGACAGAATATGATGAACTAGTTCATGATAAACTTTTTTCAGAATACTTGGTTTGTGATCTATGAACAAAATTAATTTTTTAACTTATTGTTTTGAATGTAGAACTAGTTCTTGCTAAGGTTAAGGATGTTCTGACACAACCCTGCTGTGAACTAGACAAAAATTCTTGACCTACCAAGAATTTATGTATGTCAAGCATTGACGTACAAAATTTTTTAAAAGTTGATTTGACTTTGTTACAGAACCTTATTTATATATTTTTAATTTTCAGGAGCTAAAGAACGTGCAGAGATCTACGAAGCCTTTGAGAACATTTATCCCATCCTGAAGGGCTTTAGAAAGCAGTGACAGCATTTTTGTTCTTGTGTGATTAAAATGATGTGTGTTTAATGGTATGTGGATATGTTAAATTCAGTGTTACACCATTTCTTTTGTTGGAAAAACAGGTAAATTTGTTTTAGAGCTTGTTGATTTCCCTCAAACAAAATAATTTTTTTTAAAAATGCTGACCTACATTATTTTTGAGGGGAGGCTGAAGGGGACTAGAAATCAGACAATTGAAACATTTGAGTTTGATTTCAGTTTTCCCTGTGTAACCTGTCAGTGTCCTTTGGCAAGACACTGAAGTCCAAGTTACCTATGTGTACAGTATTCTTACTGCTTCACCTTCCCCACATTTTATTTTATTCAAAATTATACACACAAATACACCATTATGACAATGTGGAAGTAAGTTGAGTGTTTTGCAACTTTATTCAAAATAGGAAACCCTCTTTATGCTAAAATCATTTTGTTGTGGTACTCAAAACCATGAATTGCCATGGTTTGAGATTTAGGAAAGTATAGACTAGCTATTACAATGGGCTCTTTGCACCTAAGGCGTTGACGTCACATCTCCAGGATCTAATG